CCGAGTGGAGCTGGAGGGGGGGCCGCCCCCCAGCCGACCTTGCTGTGGGGCCCAGAGCCATGGCTGTGCCCAGCAGCCCAAGCGACACCCCAGGAGGGTGCTCGGGTGCGGGGGCTGAGCCCTGGTTCACCAGCAAAAAATCCCCTCAACAGAGGGGCTGCCTGGAGAGCCGGGCTCGCTTGTCTGCTTCTCCGTGTGGTGCTGGGAGGCTCCGGGTCTGCACCGGGCCCAGCACCCACCCCCAGTTCTCTGTAACGCGGCTGCTGGGATCAGGGCTTGGCAGCGGTTCAATGGCTCAGCCCAGGCAGAAATGTCTCTGGGTGTCTGGCCCCTCCTGGGCCCCTCCCAGCAGAGCTGTGGGCAGGGAGTTGATCCCCACGGGGCAGTTCTCGGGCCTTCCGAATCAGCCCCGTTTCCTGGTCACTGCCCCGGCTCCGAGAAGGGCGCTGGAGTCCCGTGTGCTCCTGCTCTGCCAGGGCGGGGTCGTGGGGGGAGCACGGCAGCTAGGGTCCCAGGCGGGGCCAGGTTGGGATCCGGCTCCTGCCGTCCAGGCTGTGGAGTGGCTCGGGGCTGGCCAGAAGGCGCGGTGGGAACTGGGCCGTGGCTTGCGTCAGTTTTCCTGGCTGGTTTGGCTCGGTCCCCGGGGAAGGGAGTCAGCGGGGGAGAAGGCGTGCAGCGAGCAGACACGCCCGCCGGAGAGGCTGGTTGGGTTCCATGCTGAGCACTGGGCACAGCTAGTTCCACATCTGGGCCCTGGCCGGCGCTCAGCAGAGTGCAGCTGCCTAACGTGGCCATGTGGTGATGCAGGTTCCCTGGCGCCAGAGGGCTAGGCAGAACGGGGGGAGCTGCCCTGGCACAGGCATATCGTATGCTGGAGACAGCAGCACAGCCAGGCAGAGGGGCTGAGAGAACAGCTCAGCTCACCCGGGGGAGCCTGGCACCTGGCCAGGCGGGCAAGGGCCACTGTGGGTGGCTCTGGCTCCATCGCCGCAGAGCACTGATCCCGCTCCTGCCCCCCCGCGCCGGGG